TTTTTTTTTTTTTCCTTTTTTTTTTTTCCCTCTTCCTACCATGAGCAGATACCTGACGGACTTAGAAGAGCAACTCGCTCTCGGTCCTTGCTGAAGGGTGCTGAACGATATAACAACCCCCAACTGATGGGACTGATTTGAATTCTTCCCGGCCTCAACCAGCACGGTAGGCCTCTCCTTAGTCCACTATAATACCGCTTTTTTTCTCCTGGTTCTTTTTACTTTTTTCTGTTTCTTTTTCCTTTTTTTTTTTTGTCGTTTGCATCCTCCTTTTCCAAATTCGACCGACGGATTAATGCACGAAACAAATGGACGGCAAAGGAAGCGTACGTAGGAAGTGTACTGTACGGGGTTAGAACGAGTACTCTATTAGGATTAGACACCAGGTTTACTATTCATCGGTCCATCGGGCGATTGTTGGCTCTGACAACGGGAGGAGCTTGGTACGATCCGGTTTTTGCGGGAATTTTGTGAGGCGGGGGACGACATGGACTTCTTCGCCGAGTGGGACCAGGAGGAGGAGCAGCGTGAGGAGGAGGAAGTGGTAACGCTCCTTTTGTGAAACCCTCTTTTCTACCTCCCTGACTGTCCTGCAGCCTTGCGCAATGCAGAACGATGCGACATGCCCCGCCGCGACCGCAATGACTTTCCTCTGTACCTTTTCGCCTGTGTTGAACGCCTATCTGGCCCTGCTGCTCCTTCTTGCCTTGCCGCCTAACCTTGCCATAGCGAGACTGCTTTTCGCCGCGTGCCTCTCAGAGAAAGTGTTTTTGTGCACTTCGACTAAGTGTTTCGCAGCGCTCATCACCTACACTATCTCCTTCGTTTCTCTTCCTCTTGAGGGTTGTTGCTGCTTACTCTTTCTGCTAGCCGCTGCCAACGGACCGATCAATGCGGGTAGTTAAGGTGCAAGGTTACTAATGGAAACCAAGATGGCGACAGGGACGTCATCACACGTTTTTTTAGCGTTTATCTCTTTCCTATCCTTCGTCTCCTTTCTCTACTTTATCTACTCTCTTCCCTCCCCCCCTCAATACGGTTTCTGCCCCCCTTGCCCCTCTCTCTCCCCCTCCCCAACCCACAACCCCCCGCCCTGCCCCTCATCCTACCCCCGTAATGCCCCCCCGCACCCCCCCTCAACTCCCCCGCCTTCCAAAGATCATGGAAGATGTCCACCCTCTGATGACGCCCCAGATGGCATGGGGTAGAAAAGCGCTTCAGGGATTTGTCATGCCTTTCCTGCGCGTTTCGGCGAGATGGCCCATGTCGATACAGGAGCGCATCGGGCCTGGAGGAGAGAGCTGAAGCAGGACCTTCTTCCACCTTCTTCCACCTCTGTCCTCTTTCCCCTTCCTCCCTTCCCCCTCTGTCATCACGCTCTGCCTTCCCCCCTATGCTAGTCGTTTGGCACGGTTACTCTTGCGAATACTGGCAACGGTGTGAAAGAGGTAGGTCGTTTTTTGGATCTATAATCGCATTTTTTTTCAGAAGACTTGTCGGAGTTGTGTCAATAATTGGAGTTGCAATGGCGTTTTGTATATTTATGGTTGTTTACCATTATAGCTTTTTTTCGCAAATATGCTTGGAATCATATTCTTGATGTGTTGATCGTACTGTCCTTCGAGCTCTTTCCTCACCTTTTGCCATCTGCATGTTCCCCTTCTCCCCCTGTCCTTACCGTTTATCGGATCTTTCTCGGTCAGATTTTTTGTGTCTTCTTTGTGACCATTGCATCTCGTCACTGTGGATCTTCCTTCATAAATAGTTGTTTTTATCATTCGGATCGAGCGTGGATTGCGGTATATGAATGCTAGTGTGCGTATTCGCATCGAGAAACGGGCTTTTGCTCAACGTTCGCCATCAGCAAGCTCCCTTTAACCCATTGTCTTAATCTTACTATGTATGATTATTTTTGGTCAGAGTCTTAGTATCTTCTTTATGACCATCGCACCGTAGATCTTTCATAAGAAATTATTATTCTTATCGTCTAGATTAACTTTGGAATCTCCACTCGATTACTGTTGCTTTTGGGGAAGGGTTGCGGTATATGAATGCTTTTGTGTATTCGCATCGGGAAATAGACTTCTGCCATTCTCACCCCCCATCTTGATTGGTGTTTGCGTATTCACGCGGCAAAACGGCCCTTCCTACCCTTACCGCAAAAGGGCGTACGACGTGGTCTTACCCCGCTGCGTTTGGAAATCGCCTCCACGCCTTGCTCTTTGCCCGCAGTATGCCGACAGGTTTAGTCGGAGTAGCACGAGTATGACGTGTTGTACTCGCGCGAAATTCATGTGATACACACATGCAACACACACACACACACACACACACACACACACACACACACACACACACACACGCGCGCACGCACATATACACACACACACACACACACACACACACACACACACACACACACACACACACACACACACACACACACACACATACACACATACACACA